TCCTAATTCTGGAACCTGTCAAACTGGCCACTGATCCCTGATACCTATCGCAGGATGATCCAAGCATCGCACCAGCTGACTGCATGTGTCACATTGCAAAGTGCTTCCACGCAAGACTGTCATGCATGGTTCATTTTGGGGGGTGTTTGCGCGAGGGTCCGCTAATTTATTTGGAAAGACATTCGTGCAATGGTTGCGACCCTTAAAATGGGACCCCAATGCACGTCCGAAATGTCGGGGGCCACTCCGTGCCTTCTGGGTTCCATCTTTCAATTGGGAGATCCTTTCGAACCGGCCAAGAAAAAAAAAGATGTCCAAGATGTCCAAGTTCAACCCTTTTACTGGGACATGTCGTACATCAGAGATGCAACTGTGAGCTCCAGAAGTCAAGTCTGAGGAACCCTTTAATTTTGACCCCGGATTCATCCACCCCTGTTTATGGGGGGGGGGTTCCCCTCCAAAAGTGGAGGCTGAATCCCCACAAAAACCAGACATGGGCACCCCCTTTTCTCATAAACAGGGGTTGAACACATCCGGGGTCAACATTTACCAACCAGGTCCTCCAGATTTGAGAGGTTAGAATAAGTTGGTACCAACTGTTTTTGGTTTTGTCTATTTTAGTAGGGGAACCCTCCCAACGGGGTGAGAGGTCGAGGTCGGGCACCTGGCTGGCAGACCTCCAAGTACCTTCCGACGCTTCGCTTTGAGACTTTTTCCACTGCGTTCCGGACATCCGGGCGCCTGCTTCTGCGCCAAGGACCCCAAATGTGTAGACCTCAGAGGCCGAGAAAAACACCCAAGTCCACATCCGAGCCATGTCTCTGGGCCGAGAAAACACACCTCTTGGCCTCTCGGCGTGTGGCCATGGAGTTTGTTGGTCTTGCCCAAAAGTTTCGCTCTGGGCGAATGATCTTGGTCCTCCAGATTTGAGAGGTTAGAATAAGTTGGTACCCCTTTTTTGTCTGTAGTCTATGTTAGTAAGGGAACCCTCCCAACCAAAAAAGGGGGAAAGGGCACTACTGGGGGACCTAGGATCATGAGGGTTCTTCGTGGGTAAGGTCACAAGGTTTCGACGTTTGCCCAGTGTCAATGGATGGTCGAACATGTTGGGCCCCCAAACAAGTTGATTACTCCAACATGGATCCCCAGACTAGCCAACAGAAACGATATGGCCTCAAACTCTAGAAGCACATGATAGGACAATGTCCCATGGTTGAGGCTGGCTTGAGAAAACTCCTAATCAAAGAGATCTGAAAACGCCCAAAACACTGGGCTGTTGAAAATGGGCAGCATCCTGATCTGAATCCATCCGTGGGACCCCACAAGGGCATCTGGCAGCGGAATGAACTCAGCTTGCGGGGAGGCTGAAGCCAGGTTTCGGGCGCCTTTAGGGTTCCCTAAGGTTCCTGAATTTCCTCAGGGAGCCTGAATGAATCCCCCTTGGACGAATGAGGGTCCCTAAAGTTCCTCCGGGAGCCTTTAGGGAATCCCCAAAGGAGCCACCCCCTCGAATGGGACAGACCTCGGGCCCCGGCATCGCACGAGGCGTCAGGGCCGGCAAGAAAGACGACCGATTGGAACTTCCAGCCGGATCCTACGGATTTTGGTGGACATAGAGACATCCCAGGAGAGAAGTCCCAATGTGGCTGAGATTTGCTTAATAAAAGCCAGAGTTATAAGCCTCCGTTCAGTGGGCTATAACCAGGCTCAACCACGTACTAAATACCTGATCGCCCCTTTAAGTGGCTTTTTGTTTAAAGAAACCTTTCGAAAATCGGTGGGGATTGACGTCCACCAATCACTTTTGAGGTGGTTCCGACTCTTGACAGCAATGGCCATATTTCCCCTGGCTTGAAACATCTTGGCCATATTTCCCCTGGTTTTTACCTTGGTCTCCTTCCCATGCTGGGTTGCCAATTCGTGAAACCCTCATGGGGTGTAGAAGGAATAAAGGAACCCTGTCCGAATTGGCCATGGCGCTCTTGGGATGGAAACCCTACGACTGGGAGAAACATGCAAAAAACACCTACTAGATTCTGTCCATCAACACTAAGTGCCCGTTTGGACAAATACATGGCACTGGAAAATTATCATTTTGTTTGGGCCAAAGTGTCGTGCTTGCTGTCCCCTTCCCAGTTGTGCTTTTGGAAAAATAAACGGATTCCACCAGGTTGTCAAAAGCCACTTGTGGCCTCTGTGTAGACCCCTTGAAGGTGACACAAAAACCGCCCGCGTTGCGTGCTCGTCCACTTTCAGACGCCCACCGCACCTCCAACCGACTCGGCCGCGAGCGAGCGATGCGTCGATTTTGCGAGCGAGCGAATCATTCCGCCTGCCGATCTGAAGATCTCAACGGGCTCACGCCCTTTTGAACTTCCCGGATGGAAGGAAGCATTCCTGGCGGCTTCCGGGTTTCGATTTCCGCAAGGTCCTATCTTTTTTCAGCTTAGACTGAAACCCAGGGATTCCTCTGAAGCACCCTTCCTCAAAAGTCGAACCCCATCAAGGCGGGGGAGGGGGGGGGCGTAGAGTGGAATGGCTCTTACCCATGACCTTGAGTAAGTCCAGAAACTTCGAAATAGTCAAAGTAGACTGTCCCGTGGCAACATGTGTTTGCTGCAATGACGCCGGTAGGAATCATGGTATAAGTCAATTCTAGTCGGAATCCGGCAGACATCCGGTAGGAAACCATTTTGGGCAAACTCAAATTCACAAACAGGTTTTTAGGAATCCCCTTCCTCCCACGGGCATGATGCATTTCTGGGAGGGCTTCAGTTATCCAATCAAACTCCATGGCAACCACCAGGATTTCGACCCTTTACATCAGCTGGTAAAGTCGCTTTTTTCTATCCGGCCATTTGTCCTCACCCAGTTGAAATGGAAGAGACCCTGGCTGTGTGAAGAGCACGGAGAACACCCAGACCAAAGTGGTGAAGCCCCAAAGAAAGCATAGCTCGGTTGCTTTGTGCTCCCCTGCTAAAAGATTAACTTTTGGTGGTTTCATGGAAAACCCATAGTTGGCAAAAGTTAAATCCCTAGCATCCGTTGGTAAAATGAACCACCAAAGATACTATGGGCTTGTCTCAAATTCCTCCCCCCCCCCCCCAAATCAGGTAGTGTCCTTTGCTTTGAAGCAACGTCAACTTGCAAGGCTATGAACAAAGACATGCCCAAATCAAGCTGGCTGAGTTCGCAGCCAACTGCAAACGTCACTCTTGGATCTCCTCGCAAAGTGCCAAGTTGGTTCAAACAGAACCCATGCCCTGGAATTGGTCTTCCAATTTGCTAGAGCCCAATGGGAGGAGAAAAAAACAATATTCCAGCCATGATATTGATCTCCTTTAAAACCAACAAGGGAAAAAATAAACCGTCTTAAGCACAGGGAACTTGTAAGGGGCTCAAAACATTCAGCTTTCCACTTTGCCAGTCACACACGTTGCCTGCCTGCGACCGCCCGTTCATGGCGCACATGGCGCGCATGGCGCACAAGTTTTTTAATCGCCCCGAAACCAGTCCCTCGGGTTTTCGGCTTCGAAGGCTTTTATTGGACGCTCCAAAAGGCGAGCCGAACCTCGGGACAGGAACTCAAAGCAGAGTCCTGCAACTTCTGACCCATGCAACACGTGACCCGAAGTGCAGAATTTTCGGGTAATTGTAACTTGGCTTCGACTCGAAAGCTTGCGCTGTCTGGAAAATACATGCCCTGCTCGTGCATGAAAGGTCTGCCAAGCTGATCCGGCTGGAGCCTCCCGGAGCGGACATCCGAAGTGCGCGATGCATCCGGTGGCGTTACGCTGAACCAAGAAGCAGCCGCTGTTTGGGGTAGAAAACCAAACCAAGCAAAAGGTGTGCAAAGGGAGAGAAAACCGAAAAACCAACCAACTCACTGAAAGAAAAGATGTTGCAACCAACAGCTGAGAAAACCATGTGGACACTGGGACAACGTTTTGTTAGGCTCCCAGTTGCGGGAAGCTGACCACAAAGCGGCCTTATGCAATCGAAGCGAGGCTCGGAGGGCTGGGAGGGCGGGACGGGAGGCGACTTCAATGGGCTCTGTCCTGCCAGCTGCTGCGTGAGCGTAGATGAACGCTATCTGGCCCTGCATCACCCGTGACTAACCAGTTTGACCCACTAGAAATGGGGCGTCTCCTCGTGCGGCTTCCTTTCAAACCAGCCAAGAAAGAGAGCGCCATTTCGAGAATCCCCAGCCGCAACGCAAGACCGATACCCAGCAAATCAAGGCTAAGGGATAGTCCCAACTAAATTGATGCAAATGTCCGCCCGTTGAAAAAATAAAAACCATCGGTTTTGGGTTGACCATGTTGACAACATGTTGACCCGCAAAGTAGCTGCATCCTTTTGGTTTCCCTTTGACACACATCCACAATGGGTAGCCGGAGTCTCCATGACCCGCTATGGGGTCTACCTCACATTTAAGTCATCACTCTATTGTTTAATGGTCATGGAGACTCCAGGCTCAACCTACCCACAAACAAGTGAATTCACCCCAGAATCTAGGGGCAATACCCAATTGTTTGTGAACAGTTTGAGGGCCCAGGTACCCTCAAGCACGGCTCCGGCAATGCAAACATCACTCCCCGGCGAAGCGAATCAAACGCGACGCGTGCGGCCAAATGGTCATTCCTAAAGTAATGTCAATTTCGGATGATTCCGAAGTCTCGGAAAGTTAGAACATTTCCCATCCCCTTGTGGGAAGTTTAAACCTATATGGCTGTGGGTCAAAACCCTGTACCCCTGGTGAACATCAAAATAGGCGGTACGTGGGTGTTCATCCGCCCCAAATGGCTCGCCATAGGTTCTGACCCATGGCCATATGGGCCATTTAGCCCCGGGTTTCTTTTTGGGGAAATTTAAACCTATAGACAATCCAAAAACAAAAAGGCAAAAGACCATCCCCGAGTGTTTTGGGCTTTGTCTTGCTTAGCACCCAGAAAATCCCAAAGACCTGTGGGCCCGCCGGATTCCGCTTGGGCCACCACCGCTCCGTCGGCAATGTTCTTGTGAGTCTCCTCGGCTTTCGGGCATCGAGCTGGATGCTCTGAGACCAGCTAGCAAAAGCGACGGACAAATACATCGAACGGTTCTTTTTGTATTACACCCTGGGAATACACTGGGTATTAACCCCATGCTAGCACATTTCCGGATAAAGTTGGACCATTCTGGGCCACTTCCCAAGGGTGTAATCCCAGGGTGTAAAACAAAAACCCTCAGAGTAAACCAAAGGAGACCAAACCAGTTGTCTGTGCCCCTTGGCCTAGGGTAGCAAGAACTGACTGGAGCTGGAAGAAGCCAGGATAGACGGAATTGGTCTTCGGGATTGTCTATCCTTGGCATAGATGACCTGAACTGGAAACATAGATGGGTGTCCCTGGAAAATGGAATAACATTCATCTAAACCGGTGCCGTCTATGTCTACCAAAACTGACCTGAAAAGGACGCCTATGATGCTTGGAGTTTGCTCATCTTTCAAAGGCTCAGATCAACACTGTCAAGCAACCTCCAGACATGCGCTACCAACAGCCTTGGTCGACAAGCTCTGGCCCAACATACAAGTCGCTTGACCCCAGGCTCTACAATTCTTCCCTCCTAAGCCAAGCTCTTTAAGCCTTCAGGGGTTAGGGGTTCGGGGGGAGGGGATCCTACTTCAAGGGCAGTGCACTCAGTAATTGGTTAGCAGGCCTGGCTATAGCCCACTTACCATGGTGATAAGTCTAAGTGGGTTAGAGTAAGCGGGTTAGAGTCCAGGCCTACTTACTGAGTACCTTGCCCCTTTCAGTATGACGCGAGCGAAATGATCGTGGGAAATAGCCCGAGATCTGTGATGCCGAAGTCGGAGTCCGATCCCGACTACTTCCTCACTCAGCGATTCCCTTGTCCACAAATGTTAACGCCCAAAACGCCAAGTGGATGCAACACGGAACAGCCAGCCGGCGCAATGGGTATGTGTCCAAAATAGGGGAGCCCCCCCAAAATGATTGTAGATTCAGTCTGGTGTCTCGAAATCAAAATTAGGTGGGGATTTATGTCCACCAACCTCTTCAGTTCGGTGCCAACTCTCGAAACTCACCAAATGCGCATAGGTGGCATTTGACTGGCAAAATAGCGGGTGTCCTCGCTAAACGGATGGCAAACCAATCTAAACCAGCTTCATCCCATCCGGCCTTCTCTTTTTCCGCCATACCGTGCGGATTTGTTTGTTTTTTGCTTCCTCCGAAACCGTTTCCGGGGCATCCCGGCCATCTTCTTGTCATTCATGCCCGGCTTCATCTCCATGAAGGTGTAGACCTCGAGAATTGCTTCGGCCCCTCGCTTCGCTTGGCTTACGATCGGCGGCTTTTTGCTCATGGCTTCGACCTGAAAAGAACTCGGTGAGCCGTAGATACCGGAAAGATCGGGGAGCAAAGTTGATCCACACATACCTTTTGACGATCTGCCTTTGAGTGGAAAGCATTTGGGCTTGCTGTGCTTTTACAGCCCTGGGGTTTTTTGGACATGGGACAACGCAGCAGTTGGGGGTGCTGGAAGTCTGGAAGAGGTCAATTTTGAGAAACCCGAAGCAAGAGGTCTGCTGGAGGTTTGCGCCAAAAAAGCGACCCTCAAGGGCAGTTGCTAGAAAGGCGGGGTTGAGGGAAGCCGAGTGCTGAACAACGTTGCAATCTACGTACCTGGCAAAGACCCGAGTCTCTAGAAAGTTGGCCAAGAAGTAAGTCATGGAGTTCGACCCATGGCCTCTTTTTTGTGTTGATCCTTTGAACATTTTTTTAAATCAAATTATCACATGCAAGGGGTAGGTTCGAGCCGTGAGTTCCAGGATGAATGAACAGCTGATGTTTGTGTCTTGCTTTCTTTGTTCTTTCTTCCTGCTTTGATTTGTTTCATATGTTTTTCCTTTTTTGGGGGGCACGGATGGCGCAGTCTTTGTCCAAGCCATACTTTGGGATGCGCAGTGCATACCTGGACCTTGTACACGGTTTCACCCCAATATGGCTGTGGGTCAAAACCCTGAAATTTCTGGTGAACCTCAGAATAGGTGGCAAATGGATGTTCATATACCCCAAAATGGAGTCATAGGTTATGCCCCATGGCCGTATTAATTTGTGAATGCTAGAGAAACTCTTCCGAAAACTGCCACGTAGTGTGTTGTTTGCTTGATCTGCCTTAGGGGATCTACCATTCTGCTTGCCTTCTCTTTTGACCCCGTTTGGGCTGGGACGTCAAGATCTCTGGCACATTAGTCTTTTGGAGCAATGGGCAAGAATTATATATGTTTCATCAAAGGACACGGACAAATTGGGTCGACCCCAAAGAAAAAGTAGGCGACCAGTCCCTCAAATCAATAATGCTATCCTCTTAAAAGCTTTCTCAAATGAGAAAGGTTTGCTCCTTCAGACTCTGGGGTAGAATCTTGGCTCGGGAAACGAAACCAAACATATCTTCCACCCAGGTTTGGCCATCTTGTGACTCCCACTCTAGGGATTGATTCCCCATTATTTTCAATCATCCTTCTTTTCTCAAAAACCAGCTGTTTCCCCTGGGGTTCTGATGGTTTTCTTGAAAGAAGGATCCCTGGAAAGAAAGCCTACCAATTCTTGCGAAAATGGGCAACTCAATTTCTCGCAACCCGAAGACCCGATGATCGCTTCCTGGCCTGTCGTTCCCAAAAAACCGTGCGAAACGCGGTCCGCTAAACATGAAGAGAACCAAGCAACAACAGCAAATATACATAAACCAACCAGGAAAAAACATCCGTTTGCTTTCTCGCCCCCGGGAAAAAAAGAAAAACATATTTCCAGTAGTGATGGATTCCCTTGAAAACCAACAAGGGGAAATAAATGCAAGTCTCTTTCAGCCACAAAGAAACTACTCTTAAGCAACTGGAAGCCTTGCGGAAAAAGAACACACACACACACAAACAAACAAACAAACAAACAAACAAACAAACAAACAAACAAACAAACACAAAAAAGAAAAGACAGACAGACAGACAAACAAACAAACAAACAAACAAACAAACAAACAAACAAACACAACAAAAACAAAAGAAAAAACAAACAAACAAACAAACAAACAAACAAACAAACAAACAAACAAACAAACAAACAAACAAACAAACAAACAAACACAAAACCAAAAAAACAAACAAACAAACAAACAAACAAACAAAAAAGACAATTAAAAACAAGACCAAAACAAAACAACAAAAAAGGCTCTGGATCCAAGCTCCGAGCCCAGGATTCGTGCCAGTCGCTGCCCCAGAACCAGCCTTTGCCCTTGCGGTTCTTGATCAAGGGCATGGTCCTCGGCAGATATGTTGTCTTTTTTTTCAGAGCTACCCTTCTTGGGATGGGTTTGAAGGGAAAGGGCATGTTTGGTTGTGCTTTTTGGTGTTTTTGGTGTTTGCCGGGGGGGGGGGGTTCCCTTCTTGGGTTGGTTGAAAGGGAAACCCAAAGGGGAAACCACCCATTGAGGGCAGTCTGAAAGAACAGACACAGCGACCGGCGGACTGGAGGATGTTCTTCTTGGAGCCTTTTGGATCCTTCTTTGGACGCTTCTTTGGGCGCTTCTTTGGACGCTTTTGGGGTGGACTATGTTTGTTTTTTTTGCCTGAAAAAAATACGACACGCCGTTTTGGACCGGAGGACGGCCGGACGGCCTCCCCCTTTTGGTTGGAGGACCACACGCCACACTTCGGTGCTCCGTGCACCAACCTCTGTCCCCTAAGATCACTGACGTGTCACCAAGGAAACTCAGCTTGAATTGGCAACCAACAGGAGATGCTAAAAAAATCACACTTAGAAACGAAGCACAACTCAAGGGGCTAAATATTTGAATGGGCACCTTAAAACAAATTTGGACATGATCGCAAGAACATGATGCGTCGCAACTATTTGGCCTCTCTCCCTCTGGAGGGACCATTTCCCTGTCAGGTGCCATGGCAACGTGGAAGGGAGGGTAGGCCCTAAGGGTTGGAAAACCATCGCCTTTGGAGGCAACGTCCTCATCCTCCTAATGCGTTCCAAGGGAGTAGTTTAGTTTGAGGGAATTACGTTTTGGGCCTTGATGGGAAATCGAAGGGTGGGGATTGAGATGTTCACTGGGGGTGCGGGAGTTTGAAACATCAGGGCGGCCACAACGATTTTTGGCTGGGATTGCCCTCTTCCAGCTACTACCCGAGTTTGGATTTTCCCTCAGCTGATTCCTTTGAGGACCGGACACGTCTGCGGTGGGCTCGGCAACACCTGCGGCCACCAAGCAAAGAGAAGAACTGCGCAAACCCGCGGCTGCAGAAGTGAAATTGCACAAACTTAGCACACCGCTGAGCAGTTTCTACAAACATGGCTGGAAACTTCCTGTCATTTGCATGTCACCGCCATGATAAAGGCCATACCATAACTATGATGGTACATGATTGATCATCATCATCATCATCATCATCATCATCATCATCATCATCATCATCATCATCATCATCCTCATCGCCATCGCCATCGCCATCATCGTCATCGTCATCGTCATCGTCATCATCGTCATCATCAACATCATCAACATCATCATCATCATCATCGTCCTCCTCTCCTCGTCCTCCTCCTCCTCCTCATCATCATCACCACGCCACCATGACCGTCCAAGCACCATAGTGTTCATCGTCGTTGTCGATTGTCACTGATGAAGCATCAGCAAGAACAAGCCATTAGCCACCTGAGCCATCCACACAGCCGAGTGTCGTAAATCAATTGCGACCCAAGTCCTGCGTGCGAGCCACGGTCAAAATTGGTTGTTCCCCCACAAAGGACATGGATGATTTAGTGAGTCAGCCTGATTTTGCTTGGACATTTCCTGGGATCTATGTCCCTCCAAAACGGACCATAGACTACTGGTAATTTTGACCAAAAGCCGATGTGAAGCTGCGAACCGCCTATGTACTCAAAAGCATCCGTGGGCTTCTTCACGATCTTCACCTGGCATCTTCCGAGTCGTGGCACGAGGTTCTTCCGAAGGATGTGTACCCGTGTGTAATGCTTCCGTCTTGAACTAAATGGTTTACGTGTTTGTCATGAATAATTTGCTTATTTGATTTTCCATGTATATGTGTCTGTGTATATAGTTAACTATTGTGTCTATTAATTTATGAAACTGGTTGATATGCAGGGGTAGACCAGCTCAGAACAGCAAACTAGCCATCGAGGGAGTCCAGTCTTTAATTGCCTGCCACGGGATACAATCATGACCTGCTGTGTTGCCATGTTTTTTGGGCAGATGTCTCTGGAAGCCTTGCTGCTCTTTGTACATCAGACCATGGAACACATCTGAACCGACACAGCAAATGTGGTTCTTGCCATCGTCCCAAAGGCTTTGACCGGGAACTGAGCTGATTCTACTTAGACCTGCAAACAAGTGGTTTAGCCGGAAAATGGAAGTCAAAACAACAAGCTGAGTCTTGCAATGCAGAGTGGGGCATCCAACCATGCCTACTTTCTCGCTCGGGGATGCGTTGCCAGCTCATTTTTTCCGCGGCTGTGCTACTGGACCCTCAAACTGCCCATAGAAAAGGGAGTTGCTCCAAAAGCTTCAAAACTTGTCCTTTTTATGGGTGAGGCCCCAGGATGTGTTGTTTGAACCTAACCCCGCAAGAAATTTGCTGTCGAATCACTGGCGGTAATTACCAGCGGTAATTACCGGAAAAGCGAGCGCGAGCGCCTCCCAGTAGGACCTCCCCGACTGCGGGATTTCCTGGTCGCCGAGGACCTGCGATTTCGCGGGCTTCCGATTTTGGGGGCCTTGGGTGCGGAAAGTCGCGCCATGTCCTTCTGTCGTATCACTCGACTCCTGTTTTTCATGGGAGCGCGTTTCGCGGATTCGCAACAAAAACCACTCAACCGAAACCCAATTGTCCACATGGCATGCGAAATCAAAGGGACTTGAAAGGGACCCCTGGAGCCATGTGACTCATCCTGAAATGTTCACAACTTCGAGACACGTGGGATGAATTTCAAGAGCTGGCACACCAACTCAAAAGTGGTGGGTGGGTGTTCATACATCCCCGGATCAATGATGTCCATTTGCTCAAGTCCCCTGGAAAACACAAACATATTTCCAGTAGTAATAGATTCCCTGTAATACCACCAGGGAAAAACACACATATTCTTAACCAAATGGAAGATGATGCCCACCCTGGGTCTGCCTTTTAACTTCAAACCCACATGCCACAGGCGAGCTGATCGATCAGCCCGAGGGCTTTTTGTGCTTCGCTCATGAACACCACAGAACCAAACGCCCACCAACACCAGAAATGTCCACAGCCTCGCTTTTGGGATACATTTGGCCATGGGTCAAAATCCAAATCGTACCCCCAGTGAACATCCCAATCCCCACTAAAATAGGGTCTAAAAAGGGCGGTGAATTCACCGACCCCGAAGTGGGATCCCATTGGTTTTGACCACCACAGCCATTTGGTTACCAATCATGCAGCTAAATTACCTTTCGCCGATCCAGATCCAAATCCGTAGGGGTGGTAGATGTATCCTCTCAACCCTGACTACCTCGAGCTTGTCTTGGCCTGGGGTGCTCCAACAATTCTGATTCTGCACCATAGTCAGTCTACCCTATCAAACATTTGGCAGGGGTCCTTACATTATACACCTGAACATTGCCTTGTGAATGGTGGTTTCCCTCTATTCTGGTGGAAAAAGCCATGTTTCAATTGGGCAAAATGTATCTTTTTAGGAGCCCTGTTTGGGTGTCTTTTTTGTAGGCCAATGCCAAACAAGGGTGGCTTCCCCTCGAAGGCCAACCAGAATAAGCGTACCCTCAAAAGAACACATATCTCTACTGTGGATGGACAAAAACCCACGAAACCCTGGAATGATGATTCCCCTGCAAATACCAACAACCAATGGATTCCCATTGTTTCAAAGTGGCGCAGGATTTCGTCCATCAGCATCAAACATTTTGGTGACAGCTTTCCTGCAGTGTCTCACGGAGTCCCCGCCGTGTTCCAGTGGCCGCGGTCGAAGCTGCCATCCGTGGAGATGCGGTACGCATTGTCCTCCCGGTGCGCTGAAGAATGTCAGCCATCAGACCAAGATCCGTCCGGGCGAACCAGCCAACAGGGGATCACATATCTGCATATATATATATATATGGTACCCCCCCCCCATGGACCCTGGTTTGGTGTGTTTGACCTGTAGTTTCCAGTGTTTTATGCTTATTGTTGCTTCTTGGTTTTTTGTCAAAATTGGGGGGGGGGGTCATACATGTATATGATACGCATGCATGCATACAGATGTGATAAAAGCAATGACATCAGCATCTGCAATCTGAAAGAGTTTGAATGCATCCAAGAATACAAGAACAACTCAGACATTTTCAAAAATTGTTTAAAAAAAATATGGGATTCAAGATTCAAGAATGTGAGCAACATATTGTCTGGGAATCTTGAATATTGAATCTTGAATCTCAGATTTTTTTTTTTTGTTTTTTTTTTTTAACAATATGGATTCAAGATTCAAGATTCAATTAATCCGAGAAAATATTTTCTTTGAATCTTGAATCGTGAATCCCATAATAGTTAAAAAGTTAAAAATCCAGGGTTGTCCCAATACTCTCGGTGTTCAATAAGATTCTCGGAACAGTTTTCCCTGAAATATGTCAATCCAGTGGTAAAATATGTTCGAGGTGATAGAACAACTTGAACATTTTAGGGGTTGACCAGGATGGATGATTCTCAGGAAAGTGTTGTTTTGTGGGCTCCTCAATATTAAATCCCCGATCCAGTGGTAAAGCACTTTCAAGTGTTAGAACAACTTGAATGTTTTGGGCTTGGCCAGGATTTGACAATTCTCAGGAAAGCTTTCTGTGTAATCTTCACTCTTGAATCTTCCATCCGATAGTAGCATATTTTCAAGTGCTTAGCGACACTTTCAAGTTATTGGTTAGACGAACTTTCAAGTGCTTTTGGTGAGCTTCATGTCAGGTATGCTCATGTTGACCCCTTTCCAGGAGGTAATCAAAGGCAGGTGTAACGCTCAACAATACTGTATTTTCCAGTATTTTATCAGGAGGCGCAGGATCATTGGGGGTACTATATATATATATGTGTGTATGTATGTGTATATATAGATATACATATGTATGTGCGTTCACACACCGTCCCCCACCCTCTTGAACTACCTATCCACATTTGCTCATCTACTACCTCCACCTTTTGAGATAGAATTAACTTTCCTGCGCAAATAGAACTTTAAATACAATGGTTTAGCTAAAATCCCTGTTTCGAGATAGTTTTAGATTTTGAGCCTATCTTCCCTTGAAATTTCCCTTTGGAGCACCGTCTAACAAGTTCAATGTCGGACCTTTCAGAATGTAAATGACACAAATCGTATTTTGAATTTCCTTGTAGAAGTCCCTTAAATGTTTAGCCATGTTTAATATGAATTATATTTGAGATGTAGTCTCGATTCACTTGATATTATCAAAAGCAACTTGAGTTGTGTTTGTCTTAGATTATATTTAACACTTGGAATATATTTGGGAAACAACTTCCATCTAACTTCTTGTGTTGTAGATTAGTTGGAGTTTAGCCGGAAATATATATTTACATTTCCATGTAGCTGCTATTTGGAAAGGATTTGCTTGTTTAAGCTGTAATGGCGAATGAAAAAAAGGTAGACTAAAACCCTGCGGAACCCTTAGCTGGTTCATTTTCACGCCCTGGTGATCAGGCAAATCAACAGGAAACCAGCTAGGTTTCGGGGAACACCAAAACTAGCGACAAACCCAAACTTGGCAATGCAATTGAAGCGGACATCTTGATTCGGGTTTCGGCCTCTCCTCAAAAACCGATGGACGGAAAACGACCCCAAAGGGGGAAACTTGCACGAGGCGTGTCTCGTGTTTCTCGTGGCGGGTGGCTGCTTCATCTTTGTTTGGCTGCCTCACCGGCGAAAAAGGCCCGGTTCTCATGGATCGAAGCGGTCGTTGATAGGGCCCGTGCTCAAGGCGCATAGTTTATGTCCTCTGGTTTGAACCCCTGGTTTACGTTTTAATTAAAAGTCATGTAGGTATGTCTTAATTATGGGAAATCAGCTCCCAAAGAGTCCAAAATGGCCATGGGTTCACATATGGACTTATACAATCAGCCTTTGACGAGTGGGATATGTATCACAAAGGATATGTCTGTCACAAGCCCCTCTTACTGCCAAAGCCCAAAGCCCTATGGGAGTCCCCGAAAACCCATACCGGAAAGAAGAAGACATCCCCTCTTCGCTTTGGCGCATCTCTCTGACAGACCGTCCCAAGATTCACACAGACAGCTTTGCCTGTGTGCTTTTGCAAAAGCTTGCCAGCCGTCGCAACCTCCTAACCCCCTTCGGGGACTGAGTTTGCATGGCCCATGTAGATCTGATCCTCGCTCAAAATACTTGTTTTGCCTAAGGCATCAACAAAAAAGTGAGGCCATTCTCCCCCCCCAAAAAAGAATAGAAGTCTTGGGTCACCTTGGCTGTCACGAGGTTGCCGTGTGGTGCGAGCTCAAAACAGACCTGTGTCTGTCTTGCGCTTCGTAGTGGCCGGGTGCCTGCCAACCTTTCAAGCGCGAAGGTGGCCTTTTGAGCGCCTCCTTTCAGGAGTGGCTCGCAACAAGACCGTCCTTTGGGACCCCGAAGCAGGCCTCCCCTTTCGGGAAAACTTGGTCGAGGTTGGGCAGGGTTCAGCTTTTCAAGGTCCCAAGGGAAGATCGCTGAGAAAAGCTGAGATCTCATGCGCTCAGAGCGACAGCAAGCAGAAGCCCCGCCAGCCCGGCCGAAGCCATCCGGAAGCCGGAGTTGCTTTCGCCCACCGCGGCAGTGGTGGTGGTCGGCGCCATGGTCGTGGTGGTCGGCGCCATGGTGGTGGTCGGTGCCATGGTGGTCCTGCCACATAGAAAATGGGCCTTGGGTCAAAAAACGGGACCTGGGCTTTGACCCACTTTAGGTGTGAATATGTGGGGTGCAACCTAGGTTGCCAACAATTTCATGCTCTTGTGGTCAAGCACTTCAAGTGCCAACATGCAAACCAGGTACCGAGTCAACATCATATACGGTGGTGCCACCCCCAAGGGAGTCAAAAGAACCCCAAACAAACTGCAACCACGAGGTGTTACGTTTTTACCGAGCCCCGGCTTTTTACTACCCGCGTCTCAGCATAAGGCCTCCCTATAGCTGTAAACAGGTTGGCTGGGAACCCTTGCTTCGCTCTCAGATTATCGGTATTCTCTTGGGGCCTGGTTGGCCGGGCCAGCACCGGCCTCGCTCAGACTAGGGCTGTGTGTTGGCTTTGACTTGGTGGCAGTTCAGAGTTGCTCGGGGCTGGTTTCGGGTGAGTGTTCGGCTTGCTGGGATCTTACTGATGGCGGGTCTTGGGTTTGTTTGGGGTTCACTTAGGCTCGGAAAAGGGCTGATCTCCAGGATGCTCTTGGGAGAAATTATGGTCAGTTGACTTTGGAGCTGATTTGTCCCAACAGCATCCTGGAAATCAGCCTTCACCCGAAACCAGCCCCGAGCAACTCTGAACTGCCACGAAATCAAAGCCAGCGGGGCCGGTGATGCTGGGGATGCGGCCAACCAACCCGACCAACCAGCCAACCTGTCCCCCGGGGCTGTGCCCGGCTGTGCCCCGAGCCTCGGCTAGTTTTGAAAAAAAGAAAAAGAAAAAGAAAAGCGGCCGGTTCCGTAAAGTTGGACCCACCACAAGCCCAAGACCTGGCCTATCTTAACTTCATTTATAAGTCACTCACAAGCAGCTTGGGCAACCAACCCGAGCCAGCCGAGATGAGTCGACTGAATGCAAGGCAACACAGCCGAGCACTAAAAAAAACGCGCGCACCCCAACTACTGTATCACGCCCTTCCATGGGTTCCCCTGGTGCCGAAACTTGCAGCTTTAACATCCAATCTTGCTGAAGTCCCTGGAACCAAATGTGAACCTATTTCCAGTAATGCTAGATTTCCCTTAAAACCAACCGGAAAACCAACGAGTTTTTATTGCTGAAACAAGAAGAAGGAGAAACAAACAACCACTTCAGCAACTGGTGTTGTTGCGACCCCAAAAAACCCCACCCCACCCCCCACCCCACCCCCCACCCCCCCCACCCCCCCCCACCCCCACCCCACCCCCACCCCCACCCCCACCCCCCCCCCCCCATTCGAGAACTTAGAACACTCGTGGCATTCAGTAGGATCACTGGCTTTGCATAAACATTCACAGCCGCTATAGTTTTTCAATGGGGGTAACCAAGGAACTTAGAAACAATGGCCAGTGAGATCGGGAGAATGAACGATACGCATTCCCTTAATGCGGAGTTCACCATTCCTCAATACTGCTCTCTCAGCGAAGATACCAAGCTCACCATGCTGTTGCTTCCACATGTCCTGCGTTGTAGCTGGTGTTGTGGAAGACCAAGGCTGGCCAGTAGCGCGCTAACTTGATCTCTCTCCCTATCCGTTCTCTGCATCTCAGCCAAATGCACTGCAGTGGAATTCATTAGCTTCACACGTGCACCCAGAACACTACTCAATCATCAGAAGCTAGGTCACTGCCATTTAGTTCAGCACACTAACGACAGGAACTGAACAATGAGAAAGTTTTTTTACACCAACTCGCAGCCCATCAGCTCCACCAGGTTCTTGTACAGTTCCTCATCATATCCAGTATCCCACTGCCGCGAGCTCCGCAGCAAAATCTTGGAACTGATTGCAATTGGCCCATATAGCAGCTCCGGCCTATTCAAGCAATGCCAACAGCGCGTTGGGCGACTTCCAATAGGCTGACTAGTGTCATCACTGAAAGCTTCAACAAAGATGTGATCTCTGCTATCCTGCCCAGACCAGCTGAAGTTGATAATGCAGTAATTGCGATCGAGTACTCTATTCACCGAGTGTCGACCATGCCATGAGCTAGCTTTGTTGCTGATGTAGCTCACCAAGTTCTTCTGGTTCACCAACACCATTCCCACTCTACCAGTGAATGTATTCTTGTGAACATAGCACAGCGACACATGCTGTACTTTGTTCACCTCCCCATAGCGGTGAATGGTGGGTGAGATGATGATAACATCACCATCACACCCACCAATCTCAACACGGGGAGCCTCCAGATCATTCGCATCAGCTTCCTTTGTAGCTGAGCAACTCTTCTCCACCAACTCAATGGAACGCATAGCCACTGCCAACGGTCCGCTCATTGCAACAAGATGGTTGAGAGGCGAGATGAAAACCACTTGTGCTTCAAACAGCTTCGGTAGGCATAGATTGAGCCGGTTATTCATTCAACACATATCATGCAACTGATGTGTTCTTGACTGCTATGATTATGATGACCCTGATGAGATCATCACTGTATGACTGCAAGCAAACTCAATGGCACCGGACAGTCTGATAGGTAATTCAGGGCGCCCGCACATCCTATCGCACTGAGGAGGGAGCGCATTGAGGAGGGGTTGAATGTGTGATTGATGTCCCATAGTCAGTGCTTTCTTCAATCAGCAATTATAGCATAGCACTCACTATTGCGTTGACATGCGCCTCTAAACACCCTTGTGCATTGTACCTCGCTGTCGCTCTTCAATACTGACCAATCAGGTAGTGTTGCAGAATCCAATTGTCATTCATTGCACTCAGCACCCACACACACCCCCACACCCCCCCACACACACCCCACACCCCCACCCCCCCCACCCCCCCCACCCCCCCCTCCACCCACCCCCCCCACCCCCCACCCCCAAACGCCAAAAAAAAACGCCGCAAGCCGGTCGTTTCCATGGGGGTGGTGGTCTCGAAGGTAGTGGTGGCCGTGGTGGTCATCATCGTGGAGTTCCCGAAGGTCGTGGTCATCTGGGTGTGGCTCAAAATTAAAGAGCTAGGTGTCCAAACCACCCGCAGTTTTCACTTGACCATAGATCCATAGATCGTCAAAGCCAAGCGGTTTGGACATAGGTGTCCTTTTTGGGAAAATAGATGGGTTTCCCTGGTAGTTGATTGAACCAGGTAAAACAGGAATCGCCCTCTATGTTTCAACCAAAACCAAAAAGGACACCTATGGAGCTAGGGCGAACCGGCTTTAGTCTTTCCATTTACCTTTTGGTGACATTTTGGCTATCTCAGAGCCGTCGACTTGGGTTCGGGGTTCGTCGGCGTTTCGCGGGCGCGGTGGAACTGAAATGGAAGGTGCGACTCTGTGATTTAAGATGGGCTTCCCAAAGACTAAACCTGCAGGGTTTATTAGGGCGTGGGTTTCTGCGCTTGTTGAGGGTTTACTGGGGGATTGTCTGCTGGGAGGGTTTACTGCGAGTAACAACTCTCTTTGTTGGGTCGCGCGGAAGGCTTGGCCGTCTCTTTTGGGCAACAACCCACCCATTTTACATGGAACTCGACGTTCGGGAAATGGCCCCTTTGGAAGATGGTCCAAAACAGGACGCCCCCGTCAGGGTAAGACAAAGACGGCGGCGTCAGGGGGGCAAATCCGACAAGGCGCCAAACAGTTGCAGCGCTGTTGAAATGGGTCAGGGGCGTGGCGAAGATGCTTTTGATAACAAAACACTCATCGATTTTTTCTAGGATCCCCCAACCTTGATTGCTATTGGGTTGGATCTTTAGACGACTTTTTGGGAAATAAAGGTGTTTTCCACCTAAACCCCCCAAAAGTTAAACTTTTTGCGGGGGGTCAACAGCAACCAAGCAACCACACCAGCCAAAATGGCCTATTTTAATCTTTCCCAAGCGAGTGTGTTTGGAAGGCGGGGGGGTTTGGGGGGGGGGTCCGCTTGAGGGCTTATCTCACCGACAAAGTTTTGGCAAATGCCACGACAGCTCTTCGATGCTACTACCTTTTGCAGGGAAAACGAAGGTGCTCCTTGCACGCCGCCCGCTTGTTTTGCTCTCGCTGACCAACCTCTAATATGTCCCACTCTAAGATGGTTTCTGCAAAAAAACAAAACTCGCCTCCCACCAATTCACATGAGACCTGACAGCGGGTCCCTTGCAAAGGAACATGGTCCAAACAAGGCCCCCCAACGTCTGCTTCCACATGAATTGGGAGGGAAAATAGATGCAGGGTGACAAGGCCATTCTTTCCAGCAAGTTTGGGAGGCTTTCTCTCTCAAGGACTGAAGCCTTGTTGACCCTGGACTAATAAACCCCTGTTTATTCATTTGGGGGGTGTCCATTTCTGGTTTTAGTGGGGTCTTATCACTAGGGGAACACCCCATATACATAAACAGGGGGGTGATTCCTCTCGGCATAGGTCCCTCCCATCTCCAACTGCTTCCCAGACCTTTCTGCGAAATCTGAATTCTGAATGCGATTCAGTCAACCTGAGACAGGTCCCGGGCTTCGCCCAGAAATCAACCTTTGAGTCACTTGCTCAAAACCCGGTATTAAAATGGTCTACCCAGAACCATGTAAAACATTAAGGCGGGTATCCGCAGCTATTTATGCTTGGGATTGTCCCTTACTAACCTTCATTTACCCGGGTTTTGATTGCGGCTCATTTCTTGAGTTCGATTAGTTGAAACAAACTATGTGAGTGATCGATGGCGAACATCATCCGTTGTATGATTCCAACTTCAACGTCCAATCATGTTGTCCAATTGACACCCGAATCTGTTCTGAGAGCCCCCCCCCATTCTTTCACGTTTAGCCAACCTCATACTTTCTGAGACCCTAGGCTTCGTTCTGTTGGTTCCCTAAGTCTCCTGAAAACATCACCACGAGGAACTCATAAAAAAGCGCCATACTCGGGTGATATCTCAAACCACCAAAACCGGTTGAAATGGAGGGTCTCCTTTTTCGGGGAACCCGTTGGTAGGTTTGGGAAACCAACAGTTGATAAACCCACCATTTTTTTCGGGGGGTCCAACCTTAAGAAAGACACACCTTTGTTTGCTCCTCCCCCTCCCCCCAAGGAAAACAAACACCTTTCCCCCCCCCTCCGTCTTTGTAAAAACCAAGGGACGGTCTCAGACATGGTGGTGTTGCTGCCGCTGGAGATGGTGAAGCTCAGGATCCGCCTGTCCTCGGGGCGCGCGTTCTCCACGCTCCACAGGCTGGGGTCATGGATAGCTCCCCGCAGCTCCTCCACCTGACGAAAGACGAAGCGGAGCGAAACTTCTGCGTGGTCCAAGGGCTTATAAGTGTCGATTTTTCCCTAGCCCAAGACCCGAAATATGGGTGTGGGCTAAAAAAAGGTACTTAATATGGAACCCTGGTAAGTTGAAACAACAACTAAAACCTGCGGTCCCCTGTTCGTTTAATTTTGACCCATACCCATATGTGGGAGCTGAAGCGTATCCTGGGCTGCCCGTTTTTTGATCCCCCGCGAAAAGTGATTAACTTTCAGTGGGTTAAATGGAAACTACCACTAAACACTGAAAGGCTAACAGGCTAAGGGAATGGCTGGGAGCCACCAAGTATCTGTTTCCCTAGCCCAAGACCCGAAATATGTGGGCCATAAACCCCCAAAGGCCTCCAAAAACAGAGGTCTTGTCTCCTAGGTTTGGGTTTCCCGTAAAAGGAATAGTGGTTTTGTTGTTTTCTCCGAAACACTTGCTCGCGTTGGCTTCCGAAAAAAAGAAAGAAAAAGAAAACAGCCCAAACGAGTACCCTCAAAGAAAGACAATGCATTTTGTGTCGACCCCTGGCAGTTGGCGAACAAAGATTCGGCACCTTCTTGTTGGCCCGGTTTCTACGGAAACCCCTCCCCACAAAGGATGAAACAATGGCCCCACTAAAAGTCTGGGGTGTTGCTTGTCTTGGTTTCTGCTCGGCTGGCTTGTCCTCTTGCTTCCTGCTTCTTGTTTCTTGTTTCGTGTTCACTGGCCGTCCCGTGTTTTGCCTTGCTGCCTGCTGTGTTGCTTTGTGCTTGTTGTCTACTCACCAACGTGGAAGTGCTCAAAACCCCATTGGCATTGGTTCTAGTAGCACGGTTGAAAAGACTTGCATGGTCCGTGTGACAATCCAACAAATGACCTAAATTCCAGGGAATCGAATGGCTAGTTCTGTTGCTGTGCTTTGTCTACTTGCCGGGTTTATCTGCATCAAACTCCGTTCACCCGGACATGGAAGGGCACGGACCCAGTGTTGGAAGACGGGTTTCCTGGTGGAACAGGTTCCTATTTGCTCCACACCTGTTTGGAGATCCCACGAAAAACGGAGATTGCCGAACGGGGGTGGTCTCAGAATAGGATATGAACCCCCCTCGCAACTCAAGAAGTAAATCATGAACTTACCTGGGGCCATTCCCGTGACGAGATTTCGGGAACAGAGATTGGCAACAAAAAACCCAAGCTTTCCACCCTGGGCTGTTCCCAGATCCCCGGCCAAAAGTCGAATTGTTCGTGCCTTAGTGGAAACTACTGTGGATGGACGAACTCCAATTCGCACCACCTAAGAAACCCTGGTTTCTGACGATTCCCACGGTAACTACCCACAAACAATGGCTACCTGGTTGCAACCAAGGTTTCTTAGGTGGTGCGAAATGGATTGCGCGACCACCCATACCACTACACCCCGAAAAGCTCACCTCTCAGGAACCGGATGCCTTCAGCTTCCCACCGGAGGGCTCTGCCTTCCCATGGCCTTCCCGCGCCCAGCTCTGCCCCCTGAAGGGACCAGCCGCTGACCTTCCCTTCTACGGCGGTTCGGGCGAAACCCAAAAACAACGAAGAAACAAAAAAAGATGGGCCCAAAAGCGCGCCCTTTTTCCCTTTGGCCCCCCTTCCCCCCCCCTTTCCTTTGGCCCCCCTTCCCTTTGGGCCCAGTCCCAACGAGCCAACGAGCCAACGAGCCAACAAGCCAACGAGCCAACGAGCCAACGAGCCAACGAGCCAACGAGCCAACGAGCCAACGCGGTCCGAGACGCCGTGCCCACGGATGGGCCGTTGTAGTAGGCGTTGTCCACCTCCCCCAGCGCCACCGTCGAGGCGCCCTCCTGGCGACATCCGAGAGCGCGAGAGATCCCAGGATCCCCCCTACCATAAGGGGGAGGGGGGGTCCCCCATTCCAGTTGTCTAATCTTCCCTTTACACAAAGGAAACGGAACCACAAATGGAATTCCAGGCGTCACCCCCCTCCCCCCAATTCCATATTTAAGGGGGTGGGGATATCCGAGTGGTGGCGGTCGAGTTCACCTGACTGCCTTCCCTGTGTCACTCTGCATTCTATTGGGTGTGTAACTCGTTTAATAGTGTGCAATACATTATATTTGTTTTACAAGTGGTTTAATGTTGTGTAATGTATTCTACTATATTGTAGGTAGTTTGTTTAAGATTGTATAAAAAGCCAACCAGATATCCGTAGTCATATCAGCTTAGTCTATGTGTTTGTTGTGATGCAAAAAAAGAAACGAAGGACCTCTCAGCAGGGATGGCCCCCTAAGGGGGCTTAGGGATTTCCTAAGCGAATGGCTTTGGGACTACCCAAATCTAATTGTTTGAAACAAAAACAAGCAAGGTTTGAGAGGGTGTTGAACAACTGTCCTGGAAACCAATGACCTTAGGGATTGCCTTTCAAGGTGACTGGGGTCACTGGATTTCCCTTTCAAAGTTTGACCAATTTACTGGTGGTGTCCATTGAAACCGCCACTTTTGAGGGCTCCAACAAGAGAAGTCGAGGAAACCGCATGGCCAGGTGAAAGCTTTGGGGCCCTACAAGTTTTGGCCAAAGTAAGGAAGCCACAAAGGTTGAAAGGGTTTTGAACAGCTGTCCGCAACAAATGTATGGTTTCCTTTCGAAGTGCCTTTAAACAACCAAAAAGAGGCTGGAAACATGTTCAAGAACACGAGTCCATGTGGCTATTGGCCCCTGCACAACAAGCTCATCTTGTTGCTCCCGCATTGATGTGGTAGAGATACCGGTAAACAAGCAACAAGCTCCAAGCTGGTACACATACGCCTGTATTCCAAAACGCAAACCAAAGTTCTTTAAGAACCAAACCAATAGCAGCCGAGCTTTCTGGCCCATGAGCTTAAGCATCTTTACACGCATACACTCATCCAGCCGCGCGGGACATGCTTCTCCGGGCTCCGAATATGGGGGAGATTCAGCAACTCATATTTAGGTGCCCTTGCCGAGTCACCTGCCCACAAAACCTGGAAATAAAAGCAAGGTCCTCCAGTGGAGAGGTTAGAACAAGGGTGCCCGATTTTTTCTGTAGTCTATTCTAGTAACTAGGGGAACCCTCCCCAAAAAAAGGGGTGAGACAGGGCACTGGGGGACCTAGAAAAGGCAAACCTTGAGCCTTGAGTGTGAACCACATCAAAATAAAGTCAGAAGCTGATTCAAGTTGGGAGCAAGCGAGAGCAAGCGATCTTGGAGACTTCGGAGGGTCTGGGATTGAGAACCTGGGCTTTGCCCACCAAGGCAGCTCCAAACACGAGCCCACATACCGCTGGTTCCTGTCTGTCTTTCTTTCCGGGAAGGTGGGAGGTTCACCCTCGCTTCTTGATTATAACTACATATATGTGTATACATACATATACCTGGACCTTCCGAAGGTGCCTTTTTTTCGCCGACTTGGCAAACTGACCTTTTTTTCATCGGCTCAAGAAAAAAAAGCCGACTGACGGTATAAATCGCTGATTCGGAAACTGGCCCTCTTCTAGTGAGAAACAGTATAGCTGAAAGTCATGGGAGGCAAGGCTTGGAACTTCTGATGGCGCATTTGTCTTTTTCCGCCGGCCTCGCCCTTCATCAGCTTTGGTTCAACTGCCACTTAGCGCCGGGGCCTTGCCTGGCTCTTGGATTCCATGTGCCTCCGGTAAAGGGCTTTGGCCTTAACCATGTAAAGCTGCAGCACCCTTTTGGCCATCATTTTTTGATGAACTCTTCTCGACACCCTGCTCATCTTTCCCACCATGTCCTCATTCCCTTCGCACGCGTAAATAAGTGGGCTCAAGCATCGTCGGCAAGCTGGGTTTAGCAGCTGTTGCTTCAGCTCCACTTGGCAATGAGCCAAGGCGTGGCTCTTAGGCTTTACCGCAAAGCCCGTGAAAGACCAGGTGTGCAGGGAAACATTCGCCATGCGAGCAAAAGCTTGCTGAAACCGGTACCCCTGTTCAAACAGATAGGCCGCGCAGGGCTTCCGAAGCCACAAACCGTGGGAGTAAAGCACTTTGAAGTACTCAATCGCTGCTTGCGTGCCGTCATTCATAACAATAGTCCACCGAACGTGTCCTGGATCGAGCGGGCTCACAATGATGGACCGTGTCAAAACTAGCATCCATTCAAGCATGAGCATACAATCAGAACCCTTGGCCTTAAGCCAAGGCGAAGTCGAAGCGTTCTTGCGGTTGAGGTTCAGCCTGCTAAATGAATGTAGGGCAGGCTTCGTCCCTCGCGAGCTGCAAAAAAGGATGAAGTGCGCAAAAGCGCGGTCCAGCTTCAAAGGTATGCTATTTGATTCACTGGGTTCCTCAAAGTACGTCCAAACATCAAGGAATACGAAGAGGCAAGAGGCAACCCAATCGCAGAAAACTCCGAGTTTGCATGTATGGAATACGTCTCTGCGATACATTTTTTCATGAGCACCATTCAAGCCCTCAAATGGTATCTGCGATAGAGGTGGACTGTAGTCGGCAGGCCAGGGCCTGGACGAGTACAAGCTTGTTTCCCAAGTCGGGCTAAATCGCATGTCTTCGAATGCTATGCCGCGGCCGCCGGCTTGGCATTCGTGACACATCTCCTGCCCAGTGAGGGAGAGGTTCATGTACGACCGCGTCATTTCGCACGCCTGCCGCACGAACCATTTGAGATCGCCCTTCATACCGAGGACTGCAAAGAAGAAGTGCCTGTTTCCAATACGTAGCCCCTCGTGAAAGAGCTGCTTGAAGTCTTTGGCAGTGAGCTCCAACAATCGTTCTATCAGGTCGCCCTGGCACCCATCTTTGTAGTCCCTGGAATGAATGGCATAGATGGGGAACCGTGTGATAAAGGAGTGGTACAGCATGTTTGTGGTTTGGTAGTCTGCCAGGTCATCTGACCCATACTCCGGCCATTCTGTCAGTCCCAGTTTCAAGGCAAGAGATTTGTCGACAGAGTGGCAGCAAGAACACGTCCTCTTGTACCCTTTGGAAGTCCCAAGCCCCAACGGACTTTCCAATGTGAGAATGGCTGTGTTGCCACGACGCAAGCCTCGTCCCTCATCCCCGTGCAACAGTATAGGCACTGTTGTATCAAGAGGGCAGCCACTTTCGAAGACCATGTGTTGAGGGTGGTATTGTTTGTACTGCATCCAGAAACAAGACAGTTCCTTGGCACTGCGAACAAAGTCCTTGTGCCCTCCAAGAAGAAGGTCAGGGCAATTCTTCATGAGAAAGCCCAGCATATCGACTGGCCGCAAGAACGGCACGTTGAGGAACTCATTGGGGTTCCCTGTGGGGTGCTGGATTGTGGTCATAGGCACCTTCCACATCAGACCCAGACGCACGAGGGATCTGTAAACTTGCCGCGAAGCGTTTCCATGCGGTTGATTTGCTGGGCCCCCGCGTTTGCCCAGGCCAATCGCAGCAATGGCTTCTGGATGTGGTGCCGCAGAGGCCATGCGCAAGAGGTGTTGCGCAGAAGCCTCAAGCCACTCCGACGAAGTGTGTCCCATGAATGATTCAGAAACTGAGTGTCAGACGCCATCAGCAAGACACTCAGAAAATTCCGCAGCTTGACGCTCATTGGCTTGGGCACCTGGCGCACCCCGCCAAAGCCCCGTATGGGAGAAACAACTTTGCGCGCGTAGTTGCGCATGATTCTGACTGCTGACTGCTTGCAGCAAGCGCGGTGACTTTTTTCCCCCAACACCGCTCCGAGGAAAGCGATGATCCTCTGAATTGGTGATTGTACATTGCACCCTTCAGCGCAATTAGACCCCAGCTGGGGCAACAAACCCCTCAGCAAGCTACTAAAGAAAGATGCAGCACTCAGCTGCGCCGGGATTTCTTGGCAGGCGGTGAGTCCTGCTCAGCCTTGGCTTTGGTCTTCGCTTTGGCCTTAGCTTTCGCCTTGGCCTTTGCAGCTCGTGCGGACGATGGCTTGGGCTTCCTGGCCCCCTTTGCCTTGGTCTTTGGCATGACTTGCCTGGGCAGAGCATGCGCGGGTTTCACTACAAGCAAAGCACGGGGGGCGTGCGATCTAAACTCCCTGCCTCAGTCGCCCCTCTAGCGCCAGCGCTTCCAGGGCCCTGCAGGATTGCTACATTCTAAAGAGCCAACCCTTGCCTTTCAAGCCCAGACGCATCTTCTGGGAGTCAAGAAAGACATTTCGGAGTTGGTCCTCCATCCTAGGAGCAACAAGCCCGTTTACACTGAGGGATCGAAACAGCACATGCGTGAGCAAGGTGCCAAGTAGCTTCTTGGACAGCCCCTCCACAAGGCCTTCTACGTAGATGGTGTTGATGGCCTCATGTTTTTCAGACAAGGCGGTGATGAACTCGTCGAGCTTGCCCAGCATCCTGGGGCCGAACAAGCGCAGCAGGCTGGCTGGGGCGGGGCGGGCGAACATTGCAAGTGCAGAAGTAATGTGCAGCATTCGCCAAGAGGCCGCTTCTGTGTATCTGTGAGGCTGTTCGCAGAAGTGAGTGTCTCCTTGCAGCCCTCCAGCTTCCCCAGCCGCTTCGAAACGCAGGCCCTCGGATGGCGGCGGAGAGTGCCAGGCACGGCAGGGTTGGTCGTTGCTTGGTGTGGGGGCAAGCGCGAAAATTCAGGCGGCAACTGCCCTTGCGGCCGCACCACAAGTTTTGAAGCGGGCAACAAACTGCAAGTTTCCTTTGCAAACCCTTGTGTTGAGACCCAAAGCTGTGTTCTGCAGAGGCAAGCAGGAATACCCCGTGCGAAGAATCCTTACAGGAGCCACTTGCCGAGCACCGCAGCACCAACCACCACCCCAGTTTCTTCGTAAACCAGAAAAGGGGGTGGGCCACGGAAAAAGCAAACCAAGCCACTCAGGAAAGATTTGTTCAGTTTGGAAGGCATTCGGGGCAGGAAATGTCAGACAAGCGAGTGGACGTTTGATTTTTTTTTGGAGCCCAAGTTCAAAAGCTTTTGGCTTTGCCAGCGAGTGTCAGCATTCTTGGCGCCGCAGCCGATGGGAGAGCCTCATGGGCCAGCTCCGGAAGCCCGGCCTTCTTCCTCAGGTTGCGCTTGTTCTCCTCCACGGCATCGGTGTCATTGTCATCGTCACTGACACTGCCTGCTTCTTGCGGGCTAGAGCCTAGGCATTGGCACAAGTGGCCCTTGTGAAAAATTGTTACCCCGACAAGTGTAAGTGTTTTGCGGGTGGGCATGTGCAGTGGCCCGGCCTTCCTTCTGCGCTTTGTCCCACTTGGGCATGGCAGGAGTCAGGTCGGCGATCCCTGCAGCAGCCGCACTTCCGAGACCTTCCAGCCCGGTCTCCTGGAATCGAAGCCTGCGAGAAAAGGAAGACTGGCTCATGTTTTTCATGTTTCCGACGATGGTTGTCTCAGCATAGTAGAGGGTGATGTCCTCATAGGTGTCACGCCTGAGATTTCGTTAGAGAAGCCGCGCAAAAAAAAAAAAAAAAACAATCGGCCAGGGGGCTAAAGTTTACAAGGTGCCACGTTCAGGCAGGGAGCCGCATCAACCGAGCAGGATTGGTCTTGCAATGCTTGATCACAGCGTCCACACGCTGCCTCGGACCCACGCAACGCAGCTGAAACATGTTGCTAAGGGCTTGGGACTGCCTCAGCTAATGTTGAACAAGGCGCTTGGTCCATTTCCACTCTTCCAGCATCCACTTTTTTGAAACATACTCTCCAGACACTGTCACTTCGTTGGACTGCATCTCAAGCCGCATGATCTCGCACTCCTGGACGAACACTTCCTGCGAAGCGGGGCAGTGGCTATTTGGGGAGGGAAGCCACGTTTGAAACTTTTCAGCAACGGTCCGGGTTGCAGCCACACATTTCAAAGATCTTCTCAATGCTTTTCCGAGCGGGGCCGTTTGACCGATAGTCTTGTAGCACTGCTTCTGACACTTTAAACCCACCCCGTGAGTTGGGCTGCA